TTCGAAGCCGTTTCGTGACTATACTATAAGAGCTTTAGTTTCTTCCTATATCGTTGTAGGCCACGACGTATATATACCATTCATTGTCCCAATTTCACCTTGCACCAAGTGAACTCGTCTCCACATCAATTGGTCAATTTCAAAATACCAGAATCACCAAAACTGAGCTTGACCATTGTTATCCTCGCTTTTGCGACGCTCACACATGCCCTGGCGGAGGATCCTCCTGTCTATGCCCTTTCCTGCTCGGAGAAAGGAATGGAGAAAACTAGCTAAAAAATTTTTAAAAAAAAGGTAACTAACATTGTATCTGATTCAAAGAGGTGATGCAAGCTACACCTCTAAGAAATGCGGCATCGATGGTACTCTAAGTACGACCTTTTCCATTTAATAAAATGCTTAAGCTAATTGATGGTATGGCTAGGTTCCATGCTCCTAGGACTTTTGCCAACATTTAATTTCTTTGCTTCATTTATAGTCAAGGTATTCAAGGAGGTTTTATTGTGAAATGTGAAATATATTATGACATGGTTAGTATATAGGTAGTCCGTGCTATCTGAGTCCGGAGTATACTGATCCGACATAATTTATATATCTCCTCTTATTTCTCAATCTAACACTCATAATCCTCAGACATATTGTATATGAGATTGAATAAATTAGGATACCTAGGACTGGGTTTTATTAAGAAAGAAAAACAAAAACAAAAAACACTACCTATAAGTGTTTAACCCCACAACTGTAACGTGACGTTGATAGTGGCTAGGAGACTCCTAACCAAGGGTAAGGTCTTGGATTCTATTTTATGCTTAATTTCATTCTCTATTCTTCTTTTACCTCAAAAACTACGGACTTTTTGCCCTAAAGAGCGTCTATAAAGAGCATTCCATGATCCAACCAGCCCTCATCTCCCCTCTTTTCCTCTGCCGTAGACTTACCCTCCCCACCATCCCCACACTTTTTCGCAGCACCCTCCAAAGTCCCCAAAGACTTCAATTCACCATGTCCGCCGTTGAAGAGTCCAAGCGCGCAGCCGCAAAGGTCGCCGTCGAGAAACACTACCCTAAGGATGCCCGCTGGGTCGGTATCGGCAGTGGTACGACGATCGTGTACGTCGTCGAGGCCATCAAGAACCTCGGCGTCGATACCTCCGCCACGAAGTACATCCCTACCGGTTACCAGTCCAAGCAGCTGATTATCAGTGCGGGATTGACTGCTGTTGAGTACGACTCTATTCCACTGGGCACCGTCCTCGACGTGGCGTTCGATGGTGCGGACGAGGTCGACGAGGATCTGAACTGCATCAAGGGCGGCGGTGCTTGCTTGTTCCAGGAGAAGATCGTCGCTATGCAAGCGAAGGAGTTTATCTGTGTTGCCGGTAAGTTCTGATCGGATCTAGCTATGATTTTTACTTCATTTCGTTGTAGTTATGGGGTTTGAGTTGGGTGGTGCTCGGAAGTAGACCAGCCAACTCTGTTTTTTTATTTTTTCCTCTTTACCACTTCAACTAACTCATGCTCGCAATACTCAGACCACCGCAAACTCCAACCCCGTCTCCTCACAAACTGGAAAGCAATCCCTATCGAGGTCGCCCCGATCGCCGCCCACCGCGTTATCCTGAAGCTGAAGGAACTCGGCAGTATCAACCCCGCCATCCGGCCTTCCGCCAGCGCCAAGGAAGGCCCCCTCAAGACCGATCAGGGCTTCTTCATTATCGATGCTCCCTTCAAGCCGTTGCTGATCAAGGGCGATCTCGAGGCTGGCCAGGATGGTAATGGAAAGGATGGTGTGTGGGCGGTTGGTGCGTTGGCTCGCAAGATCAACGAGATTGTCGGTGTGCTTGAGGTCGGTATTTTCCAGGGCCTGACCGGCCCCCAGGCTAGTGCTTCCGGTGGCATTGGTGGCCAGCGGCCCGTTGCAGCCTACTTCGGTATGGCTGATGGGACAGTCGCTGTGCGCAAGGCCGAGTAGATGTCTCGTGGTTGAACTTTGGGGGACAAATATGAGACTACGTAAATAATGTAGATGATACCAAGATTTTTCTTTTTTTTGAACCTTGGGAAAAAATGCTATAATTGGAACTTGAACAAGCGAATGCTTGCAATTGTGTTTTGGACTTTTTTTTATTAGATTTCGTGTGTGGTATCAACATTGGACGGACGCTTCATTTCAGTATAGAATCAAGAAAAAGATACCTTTCCTGGACCTATTTTGGGCCCTTGCCCTTGGCTTCCGTCTCGCCCAACTCTCGTACGTAAATCTTCACTGTGCCTTCAGGGACCTCGTCATGGCCATCTTCGAATCCAGGGCTGACCGCAATGGCCAGATGCTGGCCGCTCGCACTGAACGCAACAGATGAGACGCTGTGTTGGTATTTTTGATATTGACGGATACGGCGCTTAGAGATTCCATCCCAGAGCGCAACAACACCATCACCGCCGCCAGACGCAAAGGTACCAAAGACAGGGTGGAAAGCCAGTGTGTTGACAGGGTAAACTACGTCCACGCCATCCTCGGCAGTCTGGCGGTGACACTTGAAAGCATATTTGCGGGCCTGAGATTCAGGCGACGGGTCGAACCACTCAACCGCAACACGACCCTCAATGCTAGATGAAGCATACCCAGCGTCGTCAGGCATACATGCGACAGCGCGAGTCATGAACTTCAAGCTGCTCTCGCGGCGCTGCCAAGGTTCAACTTCAACTCGGTTTCCACCTGGGGCTGTACCGTCTGCTTGTGCGGTGAGAAGGGCCAGCGCTTTGAGGTCGTAGATGTGCAATGCGCGCGATGCCATCGCGACGATCAGCTTCGTGGCGGTTGCGGAGATTGAGAATGGCTTCGACGGGAGGGGGACGATAATCGGCAGGGAGTCAGGGTTTGCGCCGGCATCGGGTTGGTGAATGTGCAGTGTTGAGTCCCATGCGGCGGAGATAACGATGTTGTGCTCGCGGCTGTATACGACATGGCGCACGCCAGCTTCATGGCTGCTGAGCACGGTCTGTTCGGAGGTGTTGAGGTCGATCCTAGTCAGTCAGTATAAATCATGGACTGCGATTGTAGTATTGATAGTAGTAGAAACCAATTAAAATAACTCACTTTCTCACGTCCCAATCCAGTCCAGCTGTGTAGATCTCGTTCTCGTTCTCGCCGAAGCAGACGTCCAGCACAGGAGCGCGGTGCTCAAACTTCTGCAATAGCTTCCCCTCTCCAACCTTTCCATTCTCATCACGCAGGTCGTACAGGTAGACGTTCTTATCCCATGACGAAACCACGATTCGCGCGGAGTTGGGGTCTGGGGAGAACTTTAAGGCCGAGATAGCATCCGTGGGTGGGGATGCGACAGTGAATTGATCTGCAATAATAAATTAGATATATTTCAGCTACAAGAGAAAGAAATGCTGAGAACTACTCACGAGAAGTCATCTTGGGCAAGCTGCGGAGTTGTAGAAGATCAAACCCCAAGCTCCCCGGGGCCTTTGGCCGTCTCCTTTTCTGCCGTCGTCACCGCCCTCTGATTCCCCGCGCTGCATCGATAAGGAAAAAAAGACCAAACGGCTTGACATCATTTGCTTTAAGCACAAACACAATTCCTCACATCTTCGTGACACTGACAATATGCCTTTTGCCCAGCTGGTGATTGGTCCACCGGGCGCTGGCAAGTCCACGTACTGCAATGGCATGCATCAGTTCCTGGGCGCAATCGGCCGGAAGTGCTCTGTCGTCAACCTTGACCCCGCCAACGACAAGACCTCGTATCCATGCGCGCTGGACGTACGTGATCTGGTTACACTAGAGGGTATTATGGAAGAGGACAAGTTGGGTCCCAATGGTGGTGTCTTATATGCTCTTGAAGAGCTCGAAAACAACTTCGACTGGCTGGAAAACGGACTGAAGGAGCTTGGTGGTATGTCTGATATATCTCCTGGTCATATCCATTTGTTGACTGGCTTTTGATGAATTCTCAGATGATTATATTCTTTTCGACTGTCCCGGGCAAGTTGAGCTATTTACACACCACGCCTCATTACGCAACATCTTCTACAAGATCCAGAAGATGGGCATCCGGGTTAGTGGCAGCAGAACCTCAAGTGCAGCACAAAGGAGACCCAGCTAACCAGGCTCCCTATGAAACAGTTGATTGTCATCCACCTCGTCGACTCCTATACCCTCACCCTCCCTTCAATGTACATCTCCGCCCTCCTTCTCTCCCTCCGCGCCATGCTCCAACTCGACCTCCCACACCTAAATGTTCTCACCAAAATCGACAACCTCTCCAACTACGCCCCGCTCCCTTTCAACCTTGACTATTACACCGAAGTACAAGACCTCACGTACCTACTCCCGGAACTGGAAAACGAGTCCTCGCGATTCTCACATGAGAAATTTGGTAAGCTGAACCAGACCATCATCGATCTAGTAGAGGAATTCGGACTCGTTGCCTTCGAGACGCTGGCCGTCGAGGATAAGAAGAGTATGATGAGTCTCCTGCACGCCATCGACCGTGCATCCGGATATGCCTTTGGCCCCGCCGAGGGCGCCAACGATACCGTCTGGCAAGTGGCTGTTCGAGAGGGCATGGGTGTCACAGATGTGCGGGATGTGCAAGAGCGTTGGTTGGATGCTAAGGATCAATACGATGAGCAGGAGGAGAAGGATTTGGAGGAGGAAGTTCGTCTACGCAATGCAGCGAGCCAGGTTGAAGCGACGGGTGCGGTGGATGGCGGACCCGACGAAGATGACGGACATGACTACGACGAGGAACTGGAGAAGTGGAAGAAGGATATGCCAGATAGTGGTGTGCGGGTTCACCGCAAGTAATCATCCTGTTCTAACGACTTCCCAGCCAATCTAAACGTCAAATATGATACGATAAATGTACGATAGCCGAAAATAAACATGCATAACCTAACGCACCAAAAACCGGGGTATCTCATTAAAAGTATAAAAAAATGTACAATACAATACCTACCCACTGCATCTGCATTCATCCTCATCCAATCTCAATCATCCATCCCCTCATCCTCACTCTCGTCCATAACACTATCAACAACAGCAGACCCCCCACCAACCCACCCCCCAAGAACCCCCTCTCCTCCGCATCCTTAACCCTAACAATCTCCCTCCTAGCTCTCCGAATAGCCTCCTCCTCAGCCTTCCGCATCGTCCCCGAAACCCGAATCACGCGGAAAACACACCCACGCTCGCGTCCCGTCCCCGCGCGTTTCGGGCCATTCGCCGGCTCCGGCACGCCGGACATGTACGTAAGCGCTGACCAGACAAGGCGGAAGGAGGCGCGCGGACACCGTACGATGGCGGTAGATGTTGCTGGTGAGAGGTATTTTACTATAGGGTTGAGTTTAGTGGGTGGTTCTATGAACGGATGGGGTTGGATTCCGGGGTGGGAAATGGAAACGAAACTCACTTGTTATTCCGCCTGCCGAGGCGCCGCCTAGCTTGCCGATTCCATAATCGCCGTATAGCTCTGCGACGGACTCGCGGATCATCTTCGCTAGGAAGCCTTGGGTCAGGGCGTCGGAGGTTGGGGAGTGGATTGCTAGTTGGGGGTTGTGTGGTTTTGTTGTTGGGGTTGTGGGCCAGGTTTTTGGGTCTGGGTAGAGGATGTCCACGAGGAGGTAGCGGTTTTTGAGACGGACCATGGTGGTGTTATATTATGTTAGGTTGGTGGTGTTGTTGACGTGGGTTTGGGGCCCTGGAAGCAGTACAGATAGACTACTATATGGCCCGTTCAGATTATGTGCTGAGTTGGGTGTAGAGGTAGTGTGTTGAGTAGAGGATGCAAGGTGGGTGAATCTTGAAGCTGAGGTTGAGGCTAGAAAAGATTGCGACTGATAAGCGATAAGGATATTTCCTAATCAGGCGCACGGCCCATCTGGACAAGCCCCTTCGACTCAGCTCTCAATACTTCAACTATGACGAATGCCACGGACTACGTAGGTACACTGAAAAAAAATTATCATGCGGCAATGGCACGTTCATTATTTCCCAAAGAGGTCTAGTCATCTACTGCAAAACGAATTAAATCAGATCCGTAGCCGGGTTGCACCCTTCTTGAGTGTCAACCCGTCAACTTGGTCATGCCACATGAACGCAGGTACGTCGATACACATAACTGCTCAGAAAACATAAAAAAAGAAAAACCAAGGGATGAACCATCCGAACTCCACCGCCCTGAATGGACGGACTATATGCCAGCGGACGGCGCTGCAAAACGTCATAAACAAAATCACAGGTTGACCTCGACACGGCCCTCGGCACCGCCCTTCTGGAGGGTGGGGAGGAGGTAGGTGATGTCATCCCAGGGGTGGCGGTAGAGACCGGTGCGCAGGCGCTTCTGGTCAAGGTAGTGGGCAATGAGACCGATGGAGCGACCGAGCACGAACAGACCGTTGAGGACACCCATGCGCATGTAGTCCTCACACTCCTCGGGGAGAAGGCACCGCAGTTGCGGAGGAGGTCAACAAAGCAGACAGCGACACAGCCGTCGACGTTGAGGATCAAGTTGTCCTTCTTGGAGGTGGTGACGGTCTCAACGGCGATAGCGTAGTCGAGCAGCTTAGTGCTGGGGAAGTGCTTCTTGACGAACTCCTTGACGAGCTCGACACGGAGATCGGGGTTGTTGCGGGACTTGACCTTGTGGCCAATACCGGGGATAAGCTTGTTCTCCTTGCGCATGGTGTCGACGAAGTCACGGGGGCTGAGACCCTTGTCGAAGGCCTTGGTGAACTCCTCAGCGGCACCATCCAGGGCACCACCGAAACGCGAACCGATGGTCAGGAGACCAGAAACGAGAGCACTGATAAGATCCTTGCCAGCACGGGTGGTAATGATGGTGTTCATGGCACCGGAAACGGCGGGACCGTGATCGGCAGTGAGCATGAGAACCATCTCAAGGAACTTGCTGGCGTAAGGGGGCAGGCGGCGGCGGAACCACAGGAGAGACATGACACCACCAATGCCAATATCCTCTTTGAAGACATCGGAGATGGGCATACCGGCGTAGAGCAGCTCCTGGCCACGGTCGTCGGAGATGGTGGAGATGAAGGCAGCGGGCTTACGGACGAGACCGAGCTCCTGGGCCCAGGCGTAGTCGATGGGGATCTTGGGCACAACGGGCTCGGGGGCGGGGGTGATGTTGCCCTTCTGGAGCTCAGCGTCGTAAACCTGCTTGAGGGTCTGGGGGAGGTCCTCGAAGGTCTCGGGGACGTGGATGCCGGCTTCACGCATGGCCTTGTTCTTGGTGACAGCAGTCTCGAGATCGGAGTTGGCGGAGGCACCGGCGTGGCCGAACTGGACCTCGGTCTTGAACAAGCTGGCGCAGGTTCCGATAGCCCAGGCAACGATGGGCTTAGTGATGGTGCCGTTCTTGATGGCCTCGATCACACGGTACTCCTCAACACCACCGACCTCACCGAGCAGCACAAGGATCTTGCACTCGGGCTCGGCCTGGTAGCGGAGCAAGTGATCGATGAAGGTGGTGCCGGGGTAACGATCACCACCAATGGCAACACCCTCGAACACACCGTCGGTGTTCTGGGAGATAATGTTGTTCAATTCGTTGGACATACCACCGGACTTGGAGACGTAACCGACGGAACCCTTGCGGTACAGCTTGGAGGCGACAATGTTGTCCATCATACCACCAGTGTTACCGATCTTGTACGCACCGGGCTTGATACCACCAACGGTAGCGGGGCCAATAATGGTGATGCCCTTCTCCTTGGCGGTGACCATAATCTCACGAGCACGCTTTGGTGGTCGTTAGCAATACATTCGAGAAAACAAGGCGAGAGGCAGAACTTACACGCTCGGGCACACCCTCGGCAATAATGGCGATGGAGCGGATCTGGGGGTTCTCCATCAACTCCATGGTGGAAGTGTAGACGGAACGAGAAGAGGCAAAGTTGACAACGGTATCAACGTCGGGGTGCTTGGCCATGGCCTTCTCAACATCCTGGTAGACGGGAAGGAGGGTCTCGCTGGTACCCCAGTACATCTTGCTGACGAACTGACCACCGAAGGTGTAGATAATACCCGCTACGGAAGGAGTGGAGCGCTTGCAGATGAAATCGAAGTCGAGCATGCCCTGCACGGCTCGGGGTTGCATACCACTGATCTCTTGTTAGTGTCTCATGTCGAGGTCGGAGAAAGAGTCCCCAGAGTTCCCATGACTTACTACACGAAGCATCGTGTCTTGTTGTGGAAAAGGCTGTGTTGGGTGGGCGAGAGGACACGGCTAGGAGGGGCGAAGCGGGTGATGTTGTCGTTGGCAGACTGCACGCCGTTGCCAGCGGGGAGAGTAGAGGAGGTCATGGTGAATCTAGGTTGCAATTAGCATGCGGTTTGGATTTCGAAGCAATTGTCCAATGGTGCAGGCAATTGTCAAGAAGGCTGTTTGGAGGGGTGTGGATATGCGGAAGAGCAATGGATAAGAGAGAGAGAGAAAAAAATTGAGAACTCACTTTATGCGTTAAACAAGCCGCTGCGAAATTAGAGGAAATAGAGAAAAAGGAGAAAGAGGGAATGAGGTAGTAAGGGAGAAGGGGGCAGAAGAAGCAGCTGTTGAGAAAAATCCGCGGGGTGAGATACTCGGAGTACTCGCAGATACACCGTACAGCTCGTCCCAGACCGCTGGATCCGCAGAACAGCTCAACACTTGGCAGTCCCCAAAGTACCGGGTACTGACGATACTGTACCCACTTTGTCGTAAGTCTAATACATCACCAATACAAAAGAGTATGGGGAGACATCTGGAGTTGATGTGACCTCAGGAGGTACATGTTTCTATAATGTTACTTTGAATTGTATATAGTCCTCGTATTCTAGTATTTAACCTGTAATATCTACATATCTACATATCTATGAAATTGAAGTATCAAATGTCCATCAAAAAGCATTAGTATAGGACTTCGGAGGCCGAATCGGGATTGTAAATGTACTTGTAAAAATCCCGGTCTATCAACTCAACAAACATCTCCAAGCGGTGTCGGAGGGACCAACGAGTACTCCGTACAACCCCATACACCTCAAAATAGGAACAAATGGGAAACAAGTGGCGCCACCAAAAGTACCCAATACGTTCTCCGTACTCCGATTCCTCCGTTTTTGTATGGAGTTTTGTGGAGAATTTCCCAACGAAGGGCACATCTTTACCCCCCCCACCTTGGGATCTTCCGTTCTGGTCTGTTCCTCAACAGGTGGGACCTGCCGAGTTGTACGCTGTAATCTCCAGAACAACTTTTTTTTTGTGTACGCTGTACACTACAGTACACTTCAAGACCAATTCCCACCTTTTCCATAATCTCTCTCTTTCTTACCTTCCAATTCAAAATAATCCCCCTCCTTTTTCCCCTTCCTCTCTCTCTCTCTCTCTCACTCTCTCACATCTCTCCCTTAATTCAATCATCACATCATGTCCGCCAAATCTATCCTCGAGGCCGACGGCAAGGCCATCCTCAACTACCACCTCACTCGCGCCCCAGTGATCAAGCCTACTCCTCTCCCTGCCTCCGCTACACACAACCCTCCTGCCCGCCTCGCCTCCCTTCACTTCCCCGATGACAAGGCCATCAAGGATGTCCTCGACCAGGCTGAGGTCTCCTTCCCTTGGCTCCTGACCCCCGGCGCTAAGTTCGTCGCCAAACCCGATCAATTGATCAAGCGTCGGGGTAAGAGCGGTCTGCTCGCCCTGAACAAGACCTGGGCTGAGGCCCGGGAATGGATTGAGGCTCGTGCCACCAAGGATGTAAAGGTTGAGACCGTCACTGGTGTCCTCCGCCAATTCCTGGTCGAGCCCTTCGTGCCTCACCCCCAGGAGACCGAATACTACATCAACATTAACTCCGTTCGTGAGGTAAGCTTTCCCCGCAGTTTTGAGCCCAATCGAGAAAAAAAAAAAAAGAGGATGCTAATGGTCCAATTTTAGGGTGACTGGATCCTCTTCACCCACGAGGGTGGTGTTGACGTCGGTGATGTCGATGCTAAGGCCGAGAAGCTGTTGATCCCCGTCAACCTCAAGCAGTACCCCTCCAACGAGGAGATTGCCGCGACCCTGTTGAGCAAGGTCCCCACCGGTGTTCACAATGTCCTGGTTGACTTCATCTCTCGCCTGTACGCCGTTTACGTTGACTGCCAGTTCACCTACCTCGAGATCAACCCTCTGGTTGTCATTCCCAACGCTGATGCCACCTCCGCTGAGGTTCACTTCTTGGACTTGGCCGCCAAGCTCGACCAGACCGCCGAGTTCGAGTGCGGTACCAAGTGGGCTGTTGCTCGCAGCCCCGCTGCCCTGGGCTCCCCTATCCTCGCCTCGGCTGATGGCAAGGTCAGCATCGACGCTGGCCCACCAATGGAGTTCCCCGCCCCCTTCGGTCGTGAGCTGTCCAAGGAGGAGAAGTTCATCTCCGACATGGATGCTAAGACCGGTGCCTCCCTCAAGTTGACCGTCCTCAACGCCAGCGGCCGTGTGTGGACCCTCGTCGCCGGTGGTGGTGCTTCCGTCGTCTACGCCGACGCCATTGCCTCCGCTGGTTTCGTCAGCGAGCTTGCCAACTACGGTGAGTACTCCGGTGCCCCCACCGAGACCCAGACTTTCAACTACGCCCGCACCGTGCTGGACCTGATGCTGCGTGCCCCCACCCACCCCGAGGGCAAGGTCCTCTTCATTGGTGGAGGTATTGCCAACTTCACCAACGTTGCCAGCACCTTCAAGGGTGTCATCCGCGCCATCCGTGAGGTCGCTCCCGTCCTCAACGAGCACAAGGTCCAGATCTGGGTCCGCCGTGCCGGCCCCAACTACCAGGAGGGTCTCAAGAACATCAAGTCCGTCGGTATTGAGCTTGGCCTCGACATGCACGTCTACGGACCTGAGATGCACGTCAGCGGCATCGTCCCCCTTGCTCTCCAGGGCAAGAAGAGCGACGTCAAGGAATTCGGCGCATAAACAGTTTAATCCTTATTTGATGTTTGTTCTTTGCAGCGTGTGTCCGTTGCATCGGTTTGTGGTATAATGCATGGCATGATATGACTTGTTTTTTGCGGGATTCCGGGGGAGATCTGCGGATGTAGACATCACCCTGGCGTCTGTCCTATTTTACTGAGGGTATGGCGTTAATTCCCGCCCGGGCGAAAAGACCCGGTCCTTCTGGTGTCGACGTACATGATTCTCCGTTGATTAGATTTCATTTTCCTATGTTCACTCCCGGCGGATTTAGATCGTGTGATGTCCCGTCGGATAATATCAATGATACGAGACGTTTATTGTCCCAGAATTATTTCCTCATATGTAAACCTGAAGTGGATAGATCAGATAATATATGTACAGTCAGCTACGATATGTCCAATGTGAGTTGAATATTTGAAAGAAAAAAGAAAAAGAAACGAAATCAAAACCCAGTCGCAAAAATACCAGTGTAATAAATTACACTGGTATACCACATGTAATTTTGAATAAGCTCAAACAGCCCTGGAGGAGACAAAACAAGCTCCCGCAACAGACTCCACACAAGCTCCTCTGCACCCCGGATTGACAGGGACATCAGGTCCCGCGATCAGATCCAAGGATAAAGTAGGGACCGTGCTGGAGTTGGGGACCATACCGAGGTGTGGACGTGACTTCCGCTGCCCCGAGATTAGGGTAAGATAAGCCATCGGACGAGCGGGGACTAACTTGGACTTATATTGAAAAAGGATTAGTGCCTGCAGGGCTTGGGTTAGGGTTGGAGAGTGGCCTAATAGAATATAACAGACGTGTTCTTTGATGTAGGTTGTTCTCTACTGCAAGGAGAGTTGGTCAATGTGGGTGGAAGGCCCTGCATAGTTCAACATACGCGCGTAATTTGATTTCAAAGCTTGTAAGCTGCGGTCATAGAGCCCTGGCGCCAGGGCGCCCTGGAGAGATGCAATTATTTAGTATATAGCACCGTAGAATGATCACGTTATTGGGTACCAGGCAGAGAGTTTCTTTGTTTTAGATATGCTTTTCTTTGCTTAGGAAATGCGTTTTATATTGACATGTGCCCCGGTCACATTATAAAAAAGGCAGATCCTAAGTAACCTGCAGGGCTAGTCATATAGAGTCTATATGTGGCATATTGTTAGAAAAATAGAGTAATCATTTAATGGGCTCGAAAGGATTTTGCCTAGATTAAATATATACTTGCTATATGCTGACAGAATATATACATATATATATATCACTTTCAATTGCGGTTAAGTATATGTCTTGCTCGATTTTATAAGGATTTCTACAAGATATACTATCTGAAACGGTTAATAACTACAAGACATTCACTGATTAATCAGCGACGCTATTCGGTCATCATTAGCAAGGGTACGCTTCCATCCTCCAAGTGATATTCCTCCCAACCGCTTCGTTGTCAGAAGCCTCGATGTTATGATCGAGTGGGTATCAACTTGTTGAGGAGCTTAATAAGATAAGAAAGGTCCAAGTTGCAAGGATCAAGGATACTCGGAGGAATCACGAATATAGCTAGATCAAGTGTTGCATTGCTACTTGTGACAAAATCAAGTCCCCAAGCACCATTTCTTCACAGCGGTTGCTAGTGTTCGTCAATAGAAGGATAACATGGTTGCTAAGAGTGTGGGATTTGTGAGCTTGAGGTATAGAATCGTAGGGACAATGTGCATCAATCCTACTTGCTGTAGGGTAGACTAGATGGGAACCCTGCTCGGAGTTCTCGCTTTAACGAACTGGATGAATTGAATTAGCGACCAACTAGCATGTAGTTTAATAGGAGGAGTAACCTTCCAGGTCATTTGAGAATTTGCCAACACTTCTAAGGCTCGTGTGTCCGTTTTAGTCATTCACTGGGGTTCAGGGAACCCCCTGATTCAATATGCCGTAGTAACGAAGAAGTGGCACAAGCTCTCAGCGAGATGAAAAAGAGTTGCTTCGACGCAATAAAAGCCTGCATGTTTAATATACTGTCCCTAAGGCCAGTGAATAAATGCAATATATATGAATATGAATGGATCAATGCAAAGAATAGAATACTCGTCTATTGATGAGTCCGAACCAAGTGAGTATGTACTAGGATATATAATCCGGGGTGTATATAAATCGATCAGTTCAGGTTAGCACTAGCAGCCACCAAAGTTACTTTTCAAATGTGGTTAGTCTGTAGATCCCCAGGTCTCCAGGTTTCGTTAACCCTATAGGTGCGAGAAGTGTAGGAGTTGTCAGTCCATAGCCAGAAAAGCAAACAGTAGATAGTATGACTAATGAATAAATGGTAGAGATATTGGTATTTATTTGAATATGATATCTCAACTATTATCCAGGGGATGCGGGCCCACCATGGATCTGCTCTGTGCAAACGCTCCGATTCACCAATCAAGTAATATCATGCACCTCAACCCAATCTCGCTCAGTCCCTAATTATATCCCTCAAAACGAAAGCGGGACGAAAAACCTTCACTTTTCTAAATCCTCACCATCCATGGATCAGTATCAATCAAACTGGCGGCTGCTCTCTCTCTTCGTCCTCCAGGGTCTCATCCCCTGCGTTGTCTTAATCACAACACCCAAACGATCTGCTCTACGCTATCTGTGTATCCCATGTATGGTATGGATCGTGTCTCAAATGATGTACCCTGTCCAGGCACCAGGGTATATATCGACCCATTTCCTCGGAAGCTCTGCAACATTCATCTTGACAGCTCTGGATCTTCTGCTGATCAACCCTCAAGCTGGGCGCGAATTCGTCGATGAAAATGGAAGCACTAAGAGCTTTTTATCCTGTCTGATTCAGGCTGTTCAGCTACTCACATACACGCGAGCCATCAACACACCCCGAGAAGTGAAGAACGTCCCGCCATTCCCAGAATACTACAATAAGAGAGACCCGAAGGTGATCCCGCGAGGTCGCTTCCTGGTTAGAGAAACTGCGATTGCTATCTGGCAGTTTATGGTTCTAGATACATTTGGCGTATTGACCTCGAGACATGCTATGAATGACCAAGACGAAGAATCGTCAGTTTCTTCCGTCATTCAATGGGATATCCCGGGACAAGAGATGATAGTACAGGCTATCCAGACTCTCATTACTTGGCTCGTTGTATCCCGAATCCTGCTCAGCTTCTACTATCGCGTCGCATCGATCATCTTTGTGAGCCTGGGGGATTCTCCCTCGAACAGCCCGCCGCTTATTGGGAGAATGGCGGATATATATACACTACGGAATTTCTGGGGGTGGGTCGCTCTCTTGTTTGTTCGTTTGGTTAGATCTAATTTTCATCGTGCTTATAGAAAATTCTGGCATCAATTGCTACGGCTGCCCCTCACGTCGACTAGCAAATTTCTCGCGCGGGATGTCCTCGGTCTGCCTAGACCGTCGTTTGTGGAACGATACACCAACGTGTTCATCGTTTTCTTTTTCTCCGGCTTGACGCACGCCATACTTGATAGTCTGCGAAACGTTTCACCTTGGGACTTTTGGACTATGTCATTTTTCCTCTCTTTCGTTGTCGGCTATATGATTGAAGACGGTATCCAGGATATCTGGAAACGAATATTGGGCTCCCAGACCGATAGCGGCTTGCCGGTGTGGTGGCAAAAGGCCCTTGGATTTTGCTGGGTCGTCACATGGCTGGGGGTTACATCTCCTTGGTATTTTAGGCCGGGGATGCTAAGGCCAGAAGAACAGATGAGTTTGGTTCCTTTCAGCATTGTTGGGCTTATTAGCCTTCCTGTGTCGAACAGTATAGTTATTGGCGGTGGTCTTGTGTTGAAGTTTCTATTCGAAGGAGAAATTTAAAAAGGAGAGGATGTAATGTACGTTGAACTTATTGAAGTTTCTTTAGCCGTCTTCGACAGGCTTGATCGAAGCTATTAGCTCCTGGTGGAGGAGGAAGACCAGGGTATTCATACCCTGAATCTAACAAACAAGTTCTTACTCTACAGGCAAACAACGGAAGATGGGATCATCTCAATCACACTAACATACATGTATATATACATTTTGAAATGAGAGTTTGTTTATTGTCATGCAAGTAGTACGTAGACAAAAATAAAAGCTTCCAATTGGTGACCGTGAATCAAATCATGCTAGGCTAGAAGAGCTTGAACATACAACATCAACGTCCTGGTTGAAAGATGGATAGAAATATTAGCTCCATAGTCATACAAGTACCCCCAACAACAGGTAAATGATCAACGTCCAAATCGCTGCGTAATGGCATCACCGGGAGGAAACTCGGATGAGACAGTCGGAGTCCGAGAAATGCGTGGAAGTCGAGTACGATGCTGAGGAGCGGGATCTGGACCTTTGCCTAGCCAGAGGCACATTAGCCGAAATGCTCTGGATACTGTAGGCTTGTGGCTCAATACATACTATTTCGCCCATCCCAATTTGGCCGAGCAGGGGGCGGCATAGGGGCTTCGCGAGGTGTCCGCGTCCTCGCCCTTTTGGAACTGCCAGTGCCGCTTCGTTGGTATCGGTGAAGCTGCTCGACCCCGTCTTGGTTGACAGGAAAAGTGGGGGTCTTGGGGTTTCGTGTGACTGGGGCCGGAGGCAGCGCTGGGACTTCAGACCGAGTAATAGAGGCAAGGGGAGGAGCATTGAGCGATGAGAGAGCTTGGGAGACTGTGTCCGAGGCTGCAGTCTGCATTCGGGACCGCATGGCACGAGCTTTGAGGAGGTTGTAGAGATTGGTCATTTGAGCAAGTTTGTTGTTCTTGTCACGGTACATGTCATTCAGTTCTTGGTTTTTCTTTTGGAGGTCTTCTTGGGAGGATTGCGTATCTGCAGCACGGAGTTGTCAGTCGGCTCTCCAAGTAATGTTAGGCTCAATGGGACCGACCGGACAGCTTGTTCTGCAGTGACAATATCTCCGTGTTGGCATTGTGGATGACCTTGTCCATCTGCGTGTTCAGGTTGGCATACTTCTCCGTAAGAGTCTTCGCTCGGTATTCCTGGTAGAATCTGCTCCAGTTAGCCTTGTATAATCCCATGGTTCCATTCGGTACTGGGGAAATGTGACAGACATCTCTTGTGTACTTTGATATGCCCAAAACGCAAGTGCACGACCAGCACATTCCATGATTGTGTTGGGATCTAACCCACTCAACACGCTTGTTTTGTAGTCCTCCGTCGGATTCAGGATTGTCGAAACGGCGTCATCTGGATTGAGAAGTACCGTCTGACATGCAGGACAAAGCCGATTGGTGGTGGTTGGACGAGAGAGCCCGAGGCTCTCTGCGCATCCATGACAGAAGATGTGCCTGAAATCGTCAGTCTTTGGGATTAAGCTGATCCGTGAGGGAACAACTTACGAGCAGGTTGTCACCACTGCTTTCTCTTTCAATTCTGCTCGACATTTGAGGGAATTGCACCTTAAAGAGAAATCCATGGTGTCACTGGCGATGTGATGCAGTTGAAGAGAGCAAGAAGTGAAGGTCACGAGTTAGACTTGGGAGATGTTATTAGTTTAGTCAACCCCAAAAGGAAATCTTGTAATAAAGCAACAACTTTGGCAGAAAGCATGTGGTATTTGTCTATTATAGTGATTATTTTCATAAAATTTTCGGCGAGCTAGAAAAAGAATGTATTTCCTTGGGCGTCGCGCCGTGTTGAAGTCATCTTCTCTTCAAACTCTTTCCCGGGCTCATACTCATGCCATAGACTGGCTGGGTAAATGTGCTTGTTTTTCTCATACCATCGTCGATCTACGACCTTGGTATCCGAGAAATCCTTGTCTGCACCTTCTAATTGATCGTCGGTAGAATTGGTGGAATTAGCCACAGGGGGCTTGTTGGAATAATCGAATAGCAAGCCGCCAGCTCGAGAAAGACTGGGAACCCGATTGGCGATGAAGTAGTAAAACTCATAATGCTGTGGAATATTAGATGGGATACTTAGCCGATGAGAACCCGGGTAGACTTACATGCGGAACAATAATATCACCCTTAACAAGCATCAAGTCGTCGACACTGACTCGTGCCCACTCGCGGCGATTATCTTTCTTTGCCTTTGATGCACCGCTGGCACCACGTACGCCCATCTCAGCACCAACCTTCCGGCACCGATCCAAGAACAACCAAACGTGGTCCCCCTTCTTGACTTTGACAGCCCCAGCTGGTATACTCGTTCCATCATAGAAGACGAATGGAATGAGAATATCGGTATTCTTCACAGCCTCCTGCATGATCAAGAACTCCTTGCGGAGAGTGTCGCGAGCCAGCGCTTCAGCTTCCAAGGATGCCTTTGTTAAGGCTTTGGGTGGAGGGGGTGCGTTCGGGTTCGCTTTCATGCGTCGAATAGTGCTATCCTCGCCGGGCGTTTTCGAACCTGACCGTGATACGCTTGAGTCGCGTGGAGTTGCGGTGGATTCCTCCCCCTCGTCCTGGTCGTCGCCGAATGACAGCTTGCTTTTTGCCAAAGCCTTCTTTTTCTTCTTTTTTGGGGGACCGTCACTCCGGGAGGGTGTTGACCTGTTGCGCTGCGATCAGCTCAAATGAACAGGAGTAAAACATCGAGGCTCTTGACTTACCCGTCAGTCACATCGCCTGCAGAGGGAGTTGCGCTTCTTGAATTACCAGATGCCAGTAGCCCCAGAGACTTATCATGTGCCTCGCGCTCTTTTGCTTCTAGAACATCCGCGCGCCGCTTGCGAAAGTCGGAGAGATGAACCAGACCGACGGTTTGCTCTTTGAGCATCTCCTCCGCGGAAACGGTTTGGCCGGCGAAGGACCGTGGAGTGGACGTGTTACTCTGCTCTTCTTCCGCCATGTTGGATTGTGAGATATTAAGCTTAGATTTGACTACTGAGATGAGAGAATCGATTTGGTCGGTGACGTCTGATAACCATCACGTGACCTTGAATTTTCAACGATTGCAAGTATATTGTACGAGGCAAAAGTTTCAAAATAGAAGAATATCGAATATCTCACCTGTGAGCTACTCGATATTCCGTGTTACATCAGAATCTAAGATATTCAAAGGTGTAATGGTCGCGGTATACTCTTTTGCACGTCTCAACTCTGAAACGGTTCAAATGCACACCACTGCAAACAAGACAAACCCGGTTCCCATGCGCGCAACCTTCGATCTCGATCCTCTTTGATACAACTTTCTGCAGCATTTACCCGTTGAATTGAAATTCAGAAACCATGGACGAAGAAGAGGACGACTTCTATGATCCCGTCGACGCGGTGCCGACAACACAATCGCTGAACCACACACAAAATGCAGCTCCAGGCCAACCGCAGGAGAGCAATTACATGGAAGACGACGATGAGGTAGAAGAGGAAGAGGAAGATGATGTATGCATCATGCTCGCATCTACTCACAATTTTCCCTTGCTAATTTTACCTGCAGGATGACTTCAATATTATCACAGAAGCACCCGAAGGCGCACCAGCTCCCGAAGCGTGAGTTAGCTACCATCACGCTCCCTGCACTCTTGCTGATCTTTCTAGCTCTCACCCGCGCCATGCAAGCTTACGACAAGAACCACAACGACCGTCCTCCGCCGACTCGTCGGTTCTAACAAGGTCCGTGACGCCATCCGCGACTCCTCGACACGAAATTGCGACTCCGATTCCTGGGCAACCAGCCGCAGCCGGAGCAGCAATCGCAAGACCCTCCTCAGAAAAGCCAGGCTCGGCCTATCCAGCCATTCACAGCTCCACCATCGACGTTAATGCAAACCCCGTCCACCCCATGACAGGGAAGCCCATCATGTCCACGGACATGGATGCTGACTTCCCATCCGATGACAAGCCCTGGCGCCGACCCGGGTCAGATCTTTCCGACTACTTCAACTACGGATTCGACGAGTTCACATGGGCAGGATACTGTCTCAAACAGCAAGGTGTGAGACAAGAAGTCAGCAGCCAGAAGAGACAGATGGACGATATGCAGGCCTTCATGGGCATGGGAATGCCTCCCATGCCTACTGCACCGGGCCCCGCTGCTCCGGCTAGTGCTGCGCCGCCCATGGCAGGAATGCCCGGTATGCCGGATATGAACCCAGATATGATGCAGGGTATGCTGGCCAGCATGATGTCCCAGGGCTTGGACCCGTCTAATATGGATCCCATGGCTTTCATGCAGCACGCTCAGTCGATGATGCCCGGCGGCGGTCAGCAGAGTCAACCTGGCTTCGGGGGCCAGCCCCAGGGTCAAGGCTTCAACCAAGGTGGCCAGGGTCAAATGGGCTACGGCGGATACGATCAACGTGGTGGTTACGGGGGCCGAGGACGTGGCCGAAGATGGTAGTTTGATATGGCATTCGTATTATTGTGATGTATCTTCGGGTTCGCCCTCGGAATAATGGGATCTCATGGCGTTTCATGCATACAAAGGGAATGGCAATGACACTGGACAATTTACCAATTCAAGCTTCTTCCGTGCCGAAGTAAAGCTGTAGGGTCGGGGAAGTGTACAATCATATACAACGTACCTCGACGGACAAATATACTAGGCACGTCAATTAAAAATCAATAGTGAACACCTAAAAATCAACTCATCAAATATTAATTTACCTACTTAGGTGTGTATTTCCTAGAGAGACCAAGTAATTAGTCCATTGGGGGAAAGGCAGTTCGGAAGAAGCTCATGGTTCGGTCTTGGCATTCTGGAAATTTCTCCAGGCAGATCTTCTTCCCCCGGACCAGTTCCATCTTCTTCCCTTTCTCCATCCCCATCCTCAACTCATCTTCTCACCAATCTCCTTCTCCTTCATAATGGTACGTGATATATCCCGATTGATTCAACAACTCGAAATCTCCCTATTTCCCCAATTCTCGGAGACTCTACCAGCACCTCCACGCCCAACTTTTTCTTCCTCCAGGCCGAGTCCGGATACCCGAAAACCCGCGCAACGCGCGCAATTCCCAATTCGATCCGAGACAACCGGTCATGTCGTTGAGAAACACAATCACTAACTCAGTTACCTTTCTAGTCTGTCCTCCGCAACATCAAGTCCCTCGCCCCCTCCTGGACCGCGTCCTGGTCCAGCGCATCAAGCCCGAGGCCAAGACTGCCTCCGGTATCTTCCTCCCCGAGGCTGCCGTCAAGGAGCAGAACGAGGCTCAGGTCCTCGCCGTCGGCCCCGGTCTCCTTGACCGCGACGGCAAGCGTATCCCCATGGGTGTCACTGCCGGCGACAAGGTCCTCATCCCCCAGGTATGTGGTGCAACAATTCCCTCGGACGCGAATACACGGGAACCATATATGCTAACATATGTCTGTTCAGTTCGGTGGTAACGCCATCAAGGTCGGCGAGGAGGAGTACACCCTCTTCCGGGATCACGAGTATGTTTCACCCATCTACCCCCTGCCTTTGGGGTATTGAGGACAATAAACTGAAGCTAACAACCCCACTAGTATCCTGGCCAAGATCAAGGAGTAAATTAGTCTTCCAAGACAATATTCTTATATGATTTTTCTTTGTTTCGCCGCCATCTAACCTCCCTTTGTCATGTCGACACCAACTCTCCGTTTCGCTGTAAAATCGCGACGGGGATATTGGAAGACCCCTGACGTGTACTATACGCGATATCATGAGCTTGACCTCTCTCAATGATCTCAAGAACACCGACCAAGGAAAAAAGAAGAAAAAAAACGCAAAAAATAATAGCGAATAGGGATGTTCACACTGGGTGATATTTGACATTTGATTGTTTAGGTATCATGTTAGTTGTTGGCTCCTATTTTGGCCTGTCTTTCTATTTTGCATGAGTTTTTGAAGCGCTGGATTGGCCTTGGGTCTTGCATGTCTTTGTCCACTGTACTTTTAAATTAAACTGCGGCTTACCTTCTCCTGGTGCTTATACTGGGGGTGGGTAGTCGGTAATTGCAGACTTGATCATCTCCTCTCTATTCTTCTAAGTATTCCGAATTCTTCATTGGGTGCTATTGGTATGCTCCTTTCTAGACATCTTGAAGGTCCATTGTCAAGTGTGCGGTAGAGGTAACATTTTGATGGACTGAATCTGATTATCAATACTGATTCTCGGTGCGCAACAGTTTCCAGGGTTAATATCTATACCTCCCGACCCCATCTTGCTAATGATGAAAGCTCATCCATGTTCCCCTAGCCAACTACTGAAAGCTGATTTGAGTACCATAGATATCCTCACCGTTAGTCTCATTATCATCGGAGCTCGAGTGCGCCATTAATTCGATCACTTCCGACACTCTGTCCATCTGCTTGTTGCCAAGAGAAGACCCGTATTGCATAACCTGCTCCAGGGGCTCCATATTAATAAACACATCGAAAGCCCTTGAATCTGTGCTGGTGCTGGGAACTGTCTCCTCAGCGGGCACTGGGGATGGGTCTGGATCGGAACTAGGATATTGCTTGAAACCACCAACGCGAATGTTGTCCAAGATAAAGCGCGCTCCAAAAGGGTTAATTCCCACGTCGCGGAGTGCGACTTCATACTCTGACTCCTCTTCTGTGACGTTTTCGATACTTCCAGGGGGAAACAATTCATATCGAAGCCTACCCATACCGAAACACCACAGTGCAATGGATGCCGAGTGATTCGGGATCGGTATCAGTAATGTTGTGCACCATTCCCCGTAAACGTCACAAAATCGAGCGAGCGAAGTGATTTCCCTTGTGAAGGAGGAATTCGAAACTCTCCCGAGGTCTGCAGTTTGGGGTTTGCAGATGAGAACAACTAGAACCACATATCGATGGATGAGGCAGAAAATCTTTTCCTTGAGCGGGGAGTTAAGTCCCTCGATCCCATTGAGCCTTGCATCCATTGGACCATGCCCTGGAAGATATCGCTGGGTTAACTCATGGGGGGTTGTCAGAATAATCCCACTATCAGGTGCCAGAATGATTTCTGCGTCGTAGTGGTATCGGGAATCCGAGTACACGCCCCCATAGTCCCTGTAGATCAATTTGGGTGGATTCTGTGGCCACGCCTCCATATCTCGTATGACCGCTGGGTGGGTTGTTAGAAGGGCAGTAGACAAAAAGAACATCGGTGGCGGGTCGAATGCCGATCGGGTTACCATTTCTTGCATTTCGAAGGCCGGGCTCGGCGAACGAGAGGGTTCCGATGGTGTCTTACCGGGGTCTAGAGGACCAAATGAAGGGACACCTGAGGACTCGTCTTGTCCACTTCTTGTGGATGTTGACAGGGAAAGGGATGATGGATCATGCAACGAGGTAACATATCCTCCGTCACTTCCTCTAGTTTGCATAAACAGGGAGAGGGATCCTAGGCCGCCAAACACTGTTTTAGATGATTTTGGGGTCTTTGCATAATCTACGGAAGAAACAGCATGTCGAGGCTTGAAGGCGCTTTTTCTCAATCCAGTGGAATGCAACTTGTAGCCCAGTTTCGCGCGAAACAGCCCTTCCTGAGTGATGCAAGAAGCTCTCTTGTCCACGGACGCGGAAGTATGTGATACCATAGCATTGGGGCTTTGCTGGTACGGAGTATGTAAAAACACATGGTCATCGTTTGCATTTTGCGAAGCTTGTACTAGCTGAGTGCTATTCTGATCGTTTCCTGGCTGAGTTATGGAGGAACTTGAACAGGCACCCTTTGGCACAACTGTGTTTTGATGAAGTGCACTGAAAGAAGTACCTGCAATTCCCTTCGGTTTACAAGGTATTCCTGTATTCGCCAGAGGCTCCAAAGAAGCCTTCTTTTCCTTCTTTTCCTTCTTTTCCTTCTTTTCCCTCAAAGCTCTGGGTGCTTGCGTTTTCTGAGTGTCAACCCTGCCAGCGGAGAATCCTTTTTCTTTTGTCAGATTGGGAGAAACGGTAGTAAGGGCGGGTTGTGCCTTTTTGTATGGACTGACTTCAAATGAAGGTTCGAAAGGAGTGTTATCAAAAGCAACTGCACTAAATTCACTTTCGGTGGGATGCTTGTCTTCGTTAGCTACTCCTTGCCTCAATGATTATTAGTCAGGTACTCACCTCAGAGCTTAGTTCACTCGAAGCGTAACTCTCGTTTTCTTGATCTTCAATAGAGGGAACAGGATCGGACTCAACACTGACAAACTGATGCACGATTCCCGATGGTCCCACAATTGGGGGCACAGCGTCTCCTGCAAGATAAGATGTCGTCGGAATATTGGAGAACCCGGCAGCTACAGTTTCAGGCGCAGTGAAACCTTCAGCGCTGTTTGATTGGGACATCTCCGAATTGTAGTGCTCAAAGACATCCCGCGTATTCATAGGGACGACAGGAACATCAGGACCACTAGGAACAACCAGACGAACCGAAGGGATAGGCGAAGATGGAGTCGGACTCTGAGCGAAGTTGGCGTGGAACTCGGACGAAGCGACCATTCTCTCATGTACGGCTGTGAGGAGATAAGGCTCGTGTTTAACGTCAGATGTTGTCACTTGAGGCAGGATTCCACGCCAAAGGTTTCGATTGAACGAATCGAGCTGGAGACAGCCGGCCAACATATCCATATCCTCAGGCTTAACCGGGAGCTTCTCCATCATGAGCTCAGTGCAAAAGCGTCGGTCGATTTCTTTGAGGCGTTCTTCTGGGTGTTCGGGGTCGAGACCCTCAACAGGGGGGATGGGAGTTGTCGGCTCACATGTTTTGTCTGCATAGTTGATTGGACAATATCGAGTGGAATCCTCTGCGACATTGTAGAATCTAGCGTACTCAAGAAGACTTGGCTGATTGGAAGCCATTTTGCGGCAAAGAACGGGAAAGGGAGAGGGTAGAGAGAGAGGTGGTGAAGAGAAAAGGCTTCCAAGGTTGTGTACGAGAGGTAAACAAAAAAGAGGTGGGAGTTGCGTTGTGAACTGGGAAGGTACGAGGGACGACACAAACACAGTCCGAATTAGGGAGGCACGAGATATAAAGCAAACAACACCTGGGTAGCTCTTACAGAGATAGGAGATACTTGTCCGAACAGGTACATGTAATAATAATAGTAAAAAAAGATCATATTTCGCTGTGATATGTCGCTAATTGCTATGTGAGAAAGAATAAACTCCGATTATCATGAACCTTTTGCAGCCAACCTAGTCGTTATAGTTCGACTGGCGAGACCCATCCTTGTTGACTGCCGGCAGTCCATACAAAGCATTGAGTTCATCCTCCTGAGACTTCCCAGACTCTTCAAGCACAGGTTTCTCGGCATGAACAGCAACGCGCACGGCATGGCGGCGGTGCGGCGTAAAGCCATAAGAAGCACTGTGGTTGGTAGACCTGTTATCCCAGAGTGCAACATCATCCTCGCCCCATGAGAAGCGGGCATGCATCTCTTGGGTCGTGGCGATCACATCAGTGAGGAACCGGATGATGGCATCGCTTTCTGCGGTCGGGATACCGACGATCTTCTTCACGAAGCCAGGGTTGAAGAACAGTCCGTTCCAGCCAGTGACTGGGTTCGTGCGAATGAGTGGGTGTTCGGTGGTGACAGGGTCCCGGCGCACTGGTCGGCCTAGTGCTCGGGAGTCATTGGCTTGCATATCGGCTGAATGGAGGGCTGTGAGGCCTTTCAGATAGTTTTGCATGTGCGAGGAGAGCACGTCGTAGGCGGCGTACTGCGAGGACCAAAGGGTGTCGCCACCACCGCCTCGGGGTGGCCCAGAGAGAAGCTTGAGAGATGTGTAGGATGGTGGTTGGATTTCATAGGTGACGTCTGAGTGCCATAAGAAACTGGGCGTGAAGAGAGCACGGTTGTCGCCGGAGTTGTCACCAGTGTAGACGACATGGACATCCTCGAGACCTGGCTTTCGGGGAACGGATGTGGTGGCGTGCTATGTATATTGTTAGTATGTATACTCATATATATTACCTCGAAGCCATGTCTTACCTTGTGTAGTTTGCCCCAATATTGGCCCAATTGGCGTTGAGCCTCGATATCAAAGTTCTTCTGGGAGCGGAAGAAGACAACGCCTCGGTATGCAATCAACCGGGCGAGGTCATCCCTCTGTGCATCGTCAAGCTTTGAGAGGTCAACACCATGGATTTCAGTTCCAATTTTAGGGTTGTGATCAAAGACGGCTGTGGCATCCCTCAGAAGGTTGCGGAATTTGGGGTCTCCTCGTAGTCCCTTGTCTTGGTAGGGGGTGTATTCGAGTGGGGCCCAGTGGATGTCTGGGAATGAGGGCAAGAAATCTTCGTGTGCATAGTTATCATGTTGAGTGACTGGTGTCCGGCCGGGCTGGTAGCCAAATTTGTTGTCGCTAGCGAGGTCCTGCGCGAGGACAGGAACGGTGAACTTGGCCACAGTTGGGGCCACTGTGACCACAGGCTCTTCCAATGATGGCGCCATCTCCAATGCAAGTGGCGATGTATGTAATATGTAAAATAACGCAAGAGATGGATGAATATATGAGAACCTTTCAAGGTTGGATGATAGCAAGGTTGGATGATAGCAAGGCTAGATTATTGATATTAAAGTATAAAAACTAAGTTTGAATAGAGGGAAGAACTGGCTTATATAGATCCAAGCCAAGGGACCAAGTCAAGCATGCAATCTGATGTGGACCAAGTGAGTCAACCCCAGATAACGCCATTCTGGAATGATTACGGATCTTGCATGCCCCCGGAGTTCACGGAAATGGCGCAATTCCTTAGATTCATCACCTCAGGCGAATCTGATGGAGGAGCTAGGCACGAGATAATTGGTTCTAAATGAATGTTGCATTGAGAGAGAGACCCGCTAGCTCTCCGCAGAATTTCCATGGTGATCACGCAATTTCGCTGACGTTGATGGCGAGACTTTGCCATCTTCGTCGAATGAACATGAAAAACGGCTGCTCAGTCGATATACTAGCTCTCACCGCTGTTTCAAAACTATTTCCAAATTAAGGACTTTTGAACGCGTGTTCAAGTATAGATAGGTGTTGATGTACGTTCTACGAAGTAGATTGTGCAGGAAAGTGGAGGTTGAGATTAGGAATGGCGCTAAGGAGGCGATCACGCAAGAGCGGCGGGTTGTTGCGTTACTCATCAGCCTCCCGAGCCCTGGAGGTCACTTGGTATGCTTATGTTGTTATAGTTGGTACATTTTAACAACGGCAATTACTATGTCATTGAATATGTACCTAGTTATACAATGCCAAAGCTTGAATACATTGGATTGGTTCAAAAAATTAGACTTTCAGAATGATCTAAGCTTAGATGTCTTGGATGTGTGGTTGCATCCTCGGCCTACAACTAGCGCTCAGACTAATGAGAGTTCGGAGTTAACAGATAAACTGTTGGATGTCATGTTTCGCATGCTGAAGAATCAGCTCCCATAATAATACAGACCAAACTCGCTAAATTCTCCCATCTATCCCAGATGAAGCCGGCCATCCCCAAGGGATTGCTGTCCAATCGACAGGTCTTGTACTTGTTCCGATACATTGCTCAGACGAGTGGCAACGCCCATGATGCCAGCCTCAACGTCTGAGAGAACACCGGACAGTTCGTTGATGGTGGAACGTGGTGTTCCCGCAGCTCCCTCCCGAGACTTGGAGCTCACAAAGTCGCTGATTTGGCGATTGAGGGTAGCTTCAACACCGTGAAGATGGTCCTCGATTTCTTTGAGGTTGCCGGTATATCTGGTAAGAACTTCTTTCATCTCCTTCGAGCGATGGGAGAAGTAATCGACCAGGTTGACGGGGACTCCATTGACGTCAGTCGATGCGTCACCCTCAACGCCGTCGGGAAGAGCAAGTGTGTTTTTGCGACTCGAGCGCATAGATCGCTCCGGAATCTGTTGATCTTGCACAGACCACCACCCACCGCCAGTTGACTGGTACTGTAGAGGAAGCTTCAGCGTATCAATGGCTCGGAAGGCAACCTGGGCCTCGGCCGCATCCCGTGTAACAAGGCTGCGTAGCCCATCAATGTCACTAGCATCGTTCTCAAGCGCGTGTTGCATAGTTTCCAGTTTGCCTTGTACAAATTCGACATCGTTAGGAATTGTGGCACCCTGCTTCTCGATGGTCGGGAGCAGATCTCCGACCTCATGGCACATCTTCATTTGGTTAAGGATGTGCTTGTCAATAGCCTCGATTTGGCTGCGGATCTCATCCGCACAGCTCTCGAATTTTGTGGTTGGCAGGAGATTGCTGACGTCAACTTTCACGCCTGGGATCACTGTGCTAGTAGCAGTGCTCTGTTGTAGTGGTTGTGTGGTCTGTGCGGGTGCCGGCTGGCCGAAGAGGGAGAGGGTAGGCTTTTGAGGTTGAGGTTGTTGTTGTTGAGCTGTGCTCTGGCCGCCACCACTGTAAATTATTAGAATATAAGCCATGAGATGGGACGAGCAAAAGCGTGGTCACTTACAACAAGCCCCCTGTAGCTCCTCCTGTCAATCCTGCACCAAGTCCACCGAGTCCAGAAAACGCTGGCTTTGCTTGAGTTTGAGCCGTAGACGCACCGCCGCCGAAAAGAGTGCTACCACCCAAACCACCGCCCGTTGTTCCTTGAGTTGTGCTGGCGCCAGCACCAGCAGTCGATGTACCGAACAAATTGCTTGTCCCAGAAGGCTGTGTGGTGTTATTTGCGCCTCCGAAAAGGCTGCTGCCGGTCGCGCTGCTCTGCTGTTGACCTCCAAACATGTTGGATCCGGTCGGTTGTGCTTGTGGTGTGGTTCCTGTGGCAGGGGCGCCGAACAAGCCTCCTGCTGGTTTAGGTGTGGTCGAGCTAGCAGCGTTCCCGAAGAGACTGCTGGTATTAGTTGCGCTGGGAGTAGCTGTGGATGTGGCTGTGTTGCCGCCGCTGTTGAGATGTTGCGGTTAGCTTTTTTTTTTTTTCTTTTTCTGCTTGAGACCAAGTGACCCCAGTGTGCGAGCCACGAATAAGGAGGATTGGGAGAGGAAACGAAGCGAATCAGAGCAAGGGGTCAGGCGATGGGTCTGATAGGCGTAATCAGAGACAAAGAAAGATGGATGGGAGGACTAACAACAAAGAACTGGTGGTGGTGTTGAGAGAAAGTCCACCGGTGGCAGGCGCCGCTGCCTTGGGAGCAAACATGATTGAGAATATGACAATAGGCTGCTTGAATGAAAATGGAACCTATCAATGGGGCCCCGTCAATAGGAATAAAGCTGCGCAATTACGATTTGCGGAATGCGCGAAGCTTCTCGGTACTTTGTTTATCCGGTCCGGAGTTTTCCCTAGCTTGGAAAGGCCGTCTACACTTTTTATACTTCATTTGCATGGATTTGTTTGATACTCGGAAACTACATAGTTTAATTGGTACCCCATTATGAGCCCCATTGAGATGCCATCCCTGTGACCGCCGGTATTTGTGTAGCTCGCGGGCTTTTGACCCAATCAATGTGTGACTTGACCTCTTCGTTCTCCTTTCGATTCTGGTCTTATTCAGAGCTTTGAAGTCAAATGAGTTGAATTTGAGACATCCAGAAAATACAACTGTCTAGCTCATCTGACAGTATTTGTGGCTATGGCCGACGAGAATGCTAAAGAGTGGGCGCCAGTATGCGTGGCATCAACAAGACGACAAAATGGGAGAGAGTTATCACCAATCAGCCCATCGCGACTGTCTTCAGCTTCACCACTAACAGTCCAAAGTGAGCCTGGGGTAACCTCTCGCGATGTATCCACCAGTCAAAATGCCGAACTGAGCTATTTCAAGGGTGCAGAATGGTAAGGCTCTATCTTGTACAGCGACCCATAATTAATCTTTACTGACCTTATGATGTACAGGACACCAGACGGAACGACTCTGTTGACAGATTCAGCGGATCATTTTATCAGAACATGGATCCTGTAAGTTGGCGCGCCATCCCTCCTATTGATTCTTTCACTCACGCAGTCAGGCCACCAGATCTACTGGAGGATAAGCCCATCCACCAAATATCCCCATATTCAACTCTGCCCTCAGCAGAGCCGACTTATGCTACCGCAATATACCCCTTCTACAACCTTCAAGATCCATCTACCACCCTATTTCTCTCATCTGTTCGTGATCATCCAATTCGGCTATCATCAGCCCTAGCTCCTACATCAGTGGCAAGTTACTCTCTAGTAAATCCAATGACGGAAGCATTCATAACACCGCACTCAATGATCTACCCTTCCACGATGGGAGGGACCCACTTCCTCACAGGCTCAGATAGCCTCATCTGTCTCTTCGACGTGTCTCGAACAGGAGCACAAGGCCCCGTGTCTTCAATGCCAACTATCCCCAGCAAACGCAAGCAGATTGTCGGTGGGGGCATCGGCATGAAGGGGATTGTTTCAGCCCTGGCTCTGAACCCCAGCGGGGACGGTATCCTTGCTGCAGGCACTTTCACCAGACACGTTGGACTATACAGCTCAAATGGCTCGGGTGAGCTCCTTGGAACTTTCAGCGTGGCCAAGACCAATGCAAACCGTGATATTGGGGGTCGTGGAGTTACACAGCTTGTCTGGAGCCCCTGTGGCAGGTATCTGTACGTCGCCGAGCGTAAGAGTGATGGGATTTTGGTTTATGATGTTCGGGTCACGGGGCAACTGCTTGGGCACTTGCGCGGGCGCAAGGCTCATACGAATCAACGCATGAAAATTGATGTTGTTTCATCTGGTCCTGGTGGCTCTCATGAGATTTGGGCTGGCGGTACCGATGGGTTTATGAGGGTCTGGAGGAGTCCAGAGCACTGTGTAGGTGGGAAGGACCCCGATTGGGAATTTAAGGTGCATGACGGTAAGTCCTTTGACAATCTTGAAGATGCTCAGTGCTGATGTATTACAGATGCCGTGACGAGTACAATGTTTCACCCCATGGGAAGTGTTGTTGCAACTTGCTCTGGGCAACGACATTTCGTTTCAGATGATTCCTCTGACGAAGACATCTCAGCGAAGGACATTAAGCAGGCAGATAACAGCCTCAAGGTCTGGTCAATGCCATTTCTGTTGCCAGAAACAGAGACAAACCATGATTTAGAGCCTGCAGCCTGAGTTAAGTATGTCTTATTGTCCGGTTTAGTTGGCATCGGAATGAGATGAAGTGCCAATTGAACAAATCATTAAATGGAGGACACAGTGCCACATCCTGGAATGCGAGCGAAATGACTAACTACAAAGAAAGATCATACAAGTGCCAATGCGGTTGTCTCCAATCTTCTCTTCGCCACATCAAGAGAACGCCTTGTCAAAGTAAGAGTCTTTGGTGGGACTGTCGTGGAATGAGTTCGCTTGCGCTCTTGACAGTCAGAACCAAAATGTCTTGGAGGGCAGTAGATAGTAAGTCTCATTACCAATAAAGGATTAAATCAATGATACATATCCAAACCTTTTGTACGGATAGCCATATCTATTTTATCTCAACCGTAAGCTTATACAAAGAAATGTTGTAGGTATTCAATAATCACAAGGGCATCAAAGCGCTGTGTAAATGTAAATTATTTTCTGACTAGACAGTCTACCCGCCCATATGTAATGTGTATTGACATCTAAGAACCAAACCAAATACTATGTACTATGTACTGCCTCAGAAAACCAGGTCAAGTCTTCAGGGGATCCGAATGCCATACTTCGCATACGGGAAGTCTTCCAAAGTGGAATAGAGCTGACCAAACCCATCACCAATTTTGCCAGGAGTTCCAGAGTTCTGTAAACGCGGGGCCTGGAGCTCCTCTGCCTCTTTCTCGGCTTCTGTCTTCTCCTCCTCTTTATGCGAACCCGTGGCTCCAGCAAGAACCTCTTCCTCCCGGCCCTTGAAGGCTCCTAGGAGACCGGGGTGAGGGCACCAGGCAACCTGCATGCCGGCACGACGACCGGCCTCGACACCCGGAACCGCATCTTCAAATACGAGACACTCCTCCGGCTTGATCTCTGTCTTCCCTTTGCTGCGCAGATCAACGTTGATGGTCTCCAGCGCGAGCAAGTAAATATCAGGAAGAGGCTTGCCTCGGCCCTTTCCGATGCGCGGATCATCACCAAGAACCTTATTAGGTTCAGGGAACACCGAGAATAGCTCTGTCAGATGATCGGTCTTCAATTTGTAGTTGCCTCTGTGCGAGGATGTTGCTAGCGCGATGTACACAGGCTCGTCGGTTGACTTTGTCGACGCAAGGTCAGCCAACAGAGTCGGCACACCGGGGAGTGGCTTTGTCTGTGGGAAATAGTGTCGCTGACGCGTTAATTGCTCCTCCTTCAGCTCCTGGTCGCTTATGGGGAGCTGGGCAAAGTCGTTGAAGATCTTGACGGCCTGGATATAGCATAAGTATGCGTATACATTACGATATATAGCGTGAAACAAACCTCCGGCTGGGGTCGACCCTGCAGCTGTGCCTTGACTGACCAGGGAAGGGTGGGTCTGCCGTACTTCTGGAGGATTTCATTCGTGACAATGGTGTACAAATCTTCTGAGTCAATCAACAAGCCGTCCATGTCGAAGAGACATGCTCGAATGCGGGGAAGGCTGTCAATGGTGTCAATTGATGTTCAAGTGCGACCACAATCCATACTCGATTTCTACTCACTCATTAGTGGAAGCCATGACTGTATGGTCTGTTTACCAGTGTCAGAGTGGGATGTTGACCACGTTTTGATAAGACGCGGGGAATAAACGTTATCAGTCCTATCAGTCCCGTGATTGAACCCTTGGCAACATCTGATGTTCTTGGCCGACGACGACCTCCTCACAAAATGAGCAGTCCTTCTAATGCGCCCGAGCGCGAAGGGAAAGGTACTCCCAATGATGCCGATGACAGTGGTGATGAGGATGTTTTCCACGATGCCCACTTCCCCGCAGAGGAAGAAGCCGTGAGTTGGAATGGCCTTCAAGCCTATGACCGGAGCCGCATATTGACTTCAATCGTCCTCGCAATAGCAACTCCTAAAAGAAGCCCACGAAATCAAATCTGAAGCAAATCAGCTGTTTCTCGCGACAAGCTATGACCAAGCCATCTCCTGCTACGATCGAGCTCTTGCTTCCTGCCCGAACTACCTTGACTACGATGTCGCCATAATCCACAGTAATATCGCTGCTTGCCATCTGAAATTGGAAGATTGGAAGGCCGCAGTAGACTCCGCAACCGTCTCCATCGAACGTCTGAGCAAGATTATTCCACCGACCCCACAGGACAAGGGCGACGAGTCGAAGGGGAAACAAATCCCGGAATCCGACAAAAAGCACACAGATGCAGTGGTTGAACTGTCGGGAGATGACGAAGAAGCCGAGTTGAAGGAACTACAAAGATTGCAAGAGCAGGACGAGCAGAGGAGCAAGGTGATGCGACTTCGGGCCAAGGTCCTTATGAGACGCGCAAAAGCGAAGACACAAATCGGTGGCTGGGGTAGTCTGCAGGGTGCTGCAGAGGACTACCAGGCCCTTTCCGCGATTGAAAATCTTCCGGCAGATGATAAAAGAGTTGTCCAACGAGCATTGCGAGAACTCCCTGAGCGCATCAATCAAGCGCGGGAGAAGGAGATGGGCGATATGATGAGCAAGCTGAAGGATGTGAGTACTTTCTTCCCTGATAAGATCCGTGTTAAGATGATAGGCAATACTAATATTGGAAAGCTCGGAAACGGGATCTTGAGCCCATTTGGTCTGTCAACGGACAACTTCAAGTTCGTCCAGGACCCAAAGACGGGTGGCTATAATATGAACTTCCAATCCTAATCAGGTTTGGCCAATCAGACACGATGGCATCATGGCCCCGTCTTACTTTGGGCACATGGCAGCCCCGAAATGGATTTGTTTCTCAGCATCATATGCATACCCTTGGCAGGAAGCCATGAAGGCGTTCTGGCTTTTGCGCACACCTTGTTTCATTTCAACAATACATATTCTGATAGTTGACCAGCTTCAGTCCCTTAATTATGGAGTACGGGAGCATCTGCAGTCCCCCCTTCTATTCACCACAGTTTCCTTTGAAGCCATCGCCAGAGGGCTCTTATGTATAGCGTCCCTGGTACCATCTTGGTCTGAATAGATTAAATTATTCAAGTATTATGTCCTCAACGTCAGAAGCCGGGCCAATTATTCTTGTTAATGATTAGTCGGGACTGATTCTTTCACCACAAAGTGATGGCGTTTCCCCCCATTTGATATGTACGCATAGGTTTAAGAGGCATGAAACATGTCTAACACAATCTTTGTGGGTAGAATCACAGGAGTGCGGTTCCCTTTGACCGCAGGCAGGATTGAAATATGCTGTGTTAAGCAGTGCATGACATGGAGAAAGAAAGACCCAACTCATCCATTTTAAAAGCCGAGCTTTTGCACCTAAATATTATTCCAAACAACACAATCTCGTACATCATCAACCATGGCTCTCAAGGTCTTCACCACTGAGTCCATCGGCGCGCAGAGAAACCACATTGCGATCTACATCGAAACCGATCCAAGCGAAGACAAGGGCTGGTTGCACCATGTCACCGGAACAATCCTGAACGGCATGGATTACACACCCAGGCAAACGCCTAACCCAGAGGTGCTGCCAGAACATGTGCCAGACTCCAAGAAACAGATTGGGACCATTGAAGAGGAAGACCTGGAGAGGTTCCGAGAGGAATGTTGCCTAGCAGTTCCTCCCCCGCGGGCCCAGGTGACCCTCAAGGGGACCCGACTGTACCCTGATACCCCGCTCTACCGCTGTACGGAATGGCTGAGGGATGTTGAGGAGCTGGCTGTCAGGAAGGGAATATTTAAGCCTCTGTGATGGGTTAGTTATTTCTTTAGTTTCGTGGCCTTCTGGGTGATAACACGATACTAACACAAGAAGTAGTCTGTGGTTCCATACATTCCATATCTGGCATTAGGCCTATCGTTAGGTCTTCTCTGTTAGTCTCTAGATAGCTGAAATCAATTATTCTTGTCTACGGTTATCCGTTCTTCAAACCATTACATAGATGGGCAAGCTGAGTGTGCTAATATAGCTGTACAATGGCTATGTGTATGCGTGGAGGTATTGAAGTTATATGATTCTGGAGGTATGAAAATGAACCTAATATGTTTGTCTAGGGGGTCAAGGGGCTGTTTCTTGCCAAAAGCAGTTTTTTTCCTGGCGCAGTTTCATGAATACTTTGACTATTTCAAAGCCGTCATCCCTTGATAAACTCCATTGTAACCCTCAACCTTCTCACTCATCTGGTGGAACACAAACTGCGCTAGACGCGCAGCAGGATACAGCCGCAACCCCATGGGATTGGCAACTTGCATTAATGCCCCGACAGCACCCTCATACCCGCTGTCCATAACGCCAGCATGTATTGTCACCCCGGACCTAAATAATGAGCTGCGAACAAAAATCTCGCCCATCACATCCAGAGGAACGGAGACGGTCTCCATGAATTCCACAAGGTAAGAACCCTGAGCGAGATCTAAATATGGCTTCGTATTTTCATTTGACGAGGGGAAGGGTATCTCTTCAGTCGAGGCCGGTTGCCGAAGTTGGTTATCCAAGTCGATTATTCCAGGCGATGTCCATTTGAGAACGCGCTTTAGTGTGAGATCTACACCACAGGGCTGGGCCTGCAGTGTGGGATATTTGACATTGCGGATGATGGAGCGGGTGATAAGTGAGCGCCCAGGGAGGATCATGTTTAGTGGATGTCAGATTCTAATCTCAGTCTGATCTCCAGGAATTTCCGCTTCTGTATATATAAAAGTGCGGTAAAAAGACGACCAAAAAGACACCAGGACACATACGCGGACTATTGTTGATGTGATGAGAAAGGGGGCAAGACAAACAGAGCAAACAAACCAAGCAAATTCATCCTGCGATACTCGATATTCGATATTCAATATTCGTCATTGGCTACCTTCTCAGATACCCAGGCATGCCTATCAAAACCCCCAAAACGACGAGGTTATTGAACCGAGGAAGCTGAAGGGCCGACAGAGCAACGTAGTTACCCAAATTCAAATTTGGTCCAATCAGAAGACAGTGCGGGGACAGATTGTGGGGATCCACATTTTGGTACGGAACACGTACGGACTCCTCAATGCCGAGTTTGGCTTCCGAAGGTACTATGTGTATGTGAGTACATTGTACATCTATTTAACATCCCCGTTGGAGGGTCATTTCAATCAATATCTCTTTGGAATCAAGTTCAGTGCAATTGATACTACACCAAAATGCCGACAATTTACCGTTCACCGTCTCCAGATCTGGATATCAAATCGGTTGACTTGGTATCTTATCTGTTCTCAAATCCCTTGAACACACCCCTGGACCGCCCTATATACATCAATGCTGTTTCAGGAGAGCAATATACCCTTGGAGATGTGATGCAACGTACTCGTTCTCTGTCCAACGGGCTTCGGCAAAGCATAGGCGTTAAGCCCAACGATGTTGTAGCATTGTTCAGTCCCAATACAATCGATTACCCCGTGGTATGCCATGCAATTGTCGGCTCCAGAGCTATTGTTGCTCCGACCAGTGCAGCTCTGACGGCACTTGAGCTTAATGCTCAGCTCAAGACCAGCGGGGCCAGATTTATCATCGTCCACTCATCTTTGTTGGAGACTGCCACAAAGGCAGCTAAGGGAACATCCATCGAGAAAGTTATCTTGATTGATGGCCAAACACCAGTCAATGGTCAACCTACATGCAATCATCTCGCCAGCACATTTGCCCCCGGTGATTTCCTCACTATTGACCCGGCTGAGGCAGCTCGCCAACCCACATTCATCTGCTTTTCATCCGGAACATCAGGTGCAGCCAAGGGTGTCATTACAACACACCAGAACATCACCTCAAACCTCCAGCAATGGCGTCACCAAATGCTTGAATCTGGTCTCCCCTCCCAGCGACCAGCAAGACAATCCGCCATTGCATTCCTGCCATTCAGCCATATCTACGGCCTCAACCTGTTCATCTGTCAGTGCTTGATTTGGGGCACAACAGTGGTCATCATGCCAAGATTCGACCTCGATTTATACCTCAGTTGCATCGAAAAATACCGACCAGACGAGTTGGCAGTGGTGCCGCCCATTGCCCTGATGTTGGTTAAAGACCCACGGGTCTCCAAATACGATTTAACCAGCGTGCGCAGGATCATGTCTGCCGCTGCACCGCTTACAATCGAATTGTCGTCCGCCCTCGAAGCCAAGTTCACAGAGATTTCAAAGACAGAGGTATTCTGCACCCAGTCATGGGGTCTGACAGAGACATCGCCAATGGCGACAGCCGTCCCAAATGACCGCATGGATAAGCGGAACACGGGTGTGGGCTGCATTGTGCCGAACATGCAGCTCCGCTTCGTGGATCCCGAGTCGATGAAAGATGCAGCCGTCACATCTGACGGATCCACCGAACCTGGGGAGATCTGGTGCCGTGGTCCGAACGTGGTGATGGGCTATTACAATAACGACAAGGCGACGAAAGAGGCATTCCACGTGGACGAAGATGGAACGAGGTGGTTCCGCACGGGCGATATCGGAACCATCGATCGAGATGGATACGTCACCATTCAAGATCGTATCAAGGAGATGATCAAGTACAAGGGACTGCAGGTCATCCCTAGTGAGTTGGAAGGAAAGCTGGTCGACCACCCCGACATCGAGGATGCGGCTGTGACTGGAATGTGGGTGGATGACAGGGCCACTGAGCTGCCGGTTGGCTTTGTGGTTTTGAGTCGGCAGGCCAAAGACAGAGATCAGAAGGTTGTCCTTGATGAGATCCACGTGTGGCTGAATGAGCGCATTGCTAACCACAAGCGTCTGCGCGGGGGGTATCCATGTCTTGTCGGAAATTCCCAAGTCGCCTAGTGGGAAGATTCTGCGTAGGCAGTTGAGGGATTTGCTGAAGAGTCAAGCGCCTAAAGCTCGCCTGTGATTGCGTTCTTGGGACAATCATTCCGTGTTAATAGCCTGCAACTTGTATAACTAAGTATGCTACGGACATAACTCTCATTCGTTAATATTGCTTAGCAGAATTTTAGATCCACTCTCACTTTACAAGTATGCAAGGGTGTATCCTGGCTAGAGGTTAGAAACCAATTAGTTATTCGTAATATTGCAGCTTTCTATCTAAAAAGTCGTCATACTTTGCTTATCAGAAAGATCAACATGAAAAACAAGTGCCTTTAGTCGTGAATGTAGGGTATGGTTCGTATTGTATAGTTGTGAGATCTGATAAAAGAGAGGCTGAAATTAAATCAAATATCATATTATATAGAGTATGCTTTTTTTCCCTGCCTTTATAGACATGTACAAAATGAATATTTAAGATGAATACATAAATGGAATACTAAAAAGACATTACAAGGCCGTATAAGTGGCCGTCTTTATACGGCCGACTATTTTTGTTAGGCAGTATCCAATGAGAGAGCTATATCCGTGATATATTTAGCCGGCAATCTGTGTAGATCGTGGTGTAGCAATTCCAACCGTTCAATTAAAAACTCCGGCTTATCTCGACGTATTCCAAATATCGTGTCACTTGACAGATATACATGCTACATGTTATATCAGAACCAACCAATTTCATTCTAACAAGCAAATAAATGATCGAAAAACATCGACACGTGAAATCTCGGGGGATTTGCAGTCTCGGGGCCCGCGGGTCCCGATCGGAGATCAATTGACGGAGTCCGACCCTTTGAGACCCAGAGGCTTCCAAAGCGGTTTTATCTTCCCTTCCTATCAGATGGAGTGGGTCATCTTCAGATACGCCCATTGCAAATTGCAAACATTCTTTTACATTTCTTTACCTTGGCTTCTGACGTCGTAGGGGCTGGTCCACTTTTGCTTGTGAGGTCGATCTGACTAGCTTACACGGATCACAATCCCTACTCTCAATCACTACCTCTACTTATCATGGGTTTATTGGCATGGCCCTCCTCTCATGAGAAGGAGGCAAAAAGGCCCAAATTCGTCGAGTTAAGGTCGTCAAGACGGTTTATCATGTTCGTCGTCGCCTTTGCTACTGGGACGGACATCTTCATGTACGGTCTGATCGTACCGGTCACGCCAACCGCATTGAAAGACAGAGCGGGAATCTCAGACGGGGATATTCAAACCTGGACATCAATTCTTCTTGCCCTGTACTCGGCTGCTTTGTTGGCCTTCGCGCCTGTTGTCGGGTACATCGCTGATCGGGCCGAGTCCCGTCGGTGGCCTTTGCTGGTTGGTCTTGTCGCATTAGCTGCTGCAACAGCCCTTCTGTGTGTTGGCACTCATATCGGCCTGTGGATTGTTGGTCGCTTGTTTCAAGGCGCTGCCGCTGCGGTGGTATGGACGGCCGGTTTGGCACTGATGGTAGACACTGTCGGAAAAGACGACCTCGGCCAAGCGATTGGATATGTCTCTATGGCTATTAGCGTTGGAACACTAGCTGGACCTCTTCTTGGTGGAGTGGTCTATGAGAATGGTGGATATTATGCCGTTTTTGGCCTTGCTTTTGCTTTTATCGCCCTCGATATCATCTTGCGATTGCTGTTGATCGAGAGAAGACATGCTATCAAATGGCTTGCGCCGGAGATGAGGCCACTATCTGTGAATGGAGACGAATCAGCAGAAAAGAAGTCACAGCAAACCTCCGAACCTCCCACCCCGCTCACCAATAGCTCCGAACCTCATGAACCCCAACCGCCTGCTCCTCCCTCACGGAGTGCATTCAGACGTGTCGCCATTTTATTAAGCTCGCCCCGTCTTGTCGTATCTGTCTGGGGATACTTCATCTTATCAATCGTCCTGACCTCATTTGACAGTGTA